AAGTAAGGTTGGTCCTGAACACCTCGCATTAGCCATGCTTCCATGTAGTATGCTGTATCCTGAGTTGGCAAGAGCAGAAGTGCAAAATCCAGCGGGCAACGTGTACGAGGAAGATTTTTTTAAAGAAAACAGGCGTGATGATCAGAGCTCAACGGAAAAATTTGTAAATGAAATTAAAGACATCAACGAACAGAGAGCCCTTCTAATTTTCTGGGGAGGATTGAAACATGAGCTGAATCTCCTAAGAGAAGTAGGCGACCAACCTGCTTTACCCATCCAACAGCTGTAAAACTTGTACCTTGTAAAGCTGATTACCCTTAATTATTTAATAATCCAGCACCTTCTACACCTTTGTAAAAATGCTTAAATCGTGCTTGTTAATATTCATTTGAATTAAAAGCATGTTTGAAGTTTCACGTTTCACGTAATAATCATAATAATGAGTTACATTAGGTATGAAAAAGTGCATGTTTAAGTCAAAATCAAAGGGCCTATATCACGTCGTGACTTTGCGCTCTGAGTCCTTACCTCTCACAAGAGAGAGATATCAGGAGTTCAATGCCGTCAAGAAATTGTGACCTTCAGAGAAGTCTATCACATCGCTGTTGTGGTAATAGAATTATTAACGTGGATAATTTTTGAGAAATGTATAACACATCGACTATTCTTACCTTATTGAATGGAGAAATGAGAGAGATGGAAAAAAATCTGAATATGTGGCAACTCTCAGCTGAATGTTGCGAGGAATATATCAAACAAAAGAAAAGATTCCTTCAACTTTTCCAAAGTAGTTGACAAGGATTTCTAAAGAAACTAAAAAGACTTCCTTCCAAAGTTTTTTTTTAAAACATACTCTTCTGAATTATTTTCCTTTAAACAAGAGCACCCATCTGAAACTATCTTTCATCTTTTCAAACTCGCATCACTAAACGAAGACTCAGAGACAAAATCGTACAATCGACATATCGCCAAAACACACACTCAATTACAGTATCCATGCAAAAAATTTCAGCATATTCATTAGCTGAGAACTCTTCAGTTAATCTCGTGATCAAACAGTGCAGAACATTAAAAATGAGTGCGAAAGTTGAAATTTAGGGTAGAAAGTTGAAATTAAGTTGATAGACAGATAAGTCGCGAACGTACAACAAATCGAAATGGCGAATAGGTTAGGAGAGAAGGCACGACGTTTTAACTAAGAGTTTGAAAGAAAATACAAAGAAAGAAGTACTAAATAGAGCATCAGAACTGATTTCAGTATGGAAATCGGTGGCCTCTATGACGAAATTATTGGAAAGAACGAACCGGAGGTCTGACCAAAACTTATGATTTCGTGTAATTCTCACTGCTATTGACCGATATCCTTACAGAGAAAAAGTACAAACGCTCGATTATTTGTGACAAAGAGTTTCAAAGCTCGAAGCAAATTCTTGGGGGTAAAGCCCCACTTTTTCGGCAATAAAGTAAAGGCAAGCGGCCAAACAAGGAAAGAAGTCAGACAATAACCGAGGAAAATGATCTATAGAAAAAAAGAGCCGGGAAAGGGAGGTCTGCGAATACTTTTCCAAACAGTTTCGTGGCTCGTGACCCAATATTTTAGTCTTCGAGGTCGCAAAGCGCAGCCCCTCTGGGCAGGAGATTAAAGGCAATTACCGTTGCAATCTTCATAAAAATGATTTCTGTGTACAGCTCGTACGCTTATCTCTTTTGCGCTAATACTGTCCTTGCAATCTTGAGATCTATTTAGATGCAAATGTTTCCAATCGCAACGCCTTGAAAACTGTCGAAAGAAGTTGAAGACGGCAGGCCTAGAACTAGCTTCAGTTTTTAAAGTAACGAGCCAAGGGAACGAGAAGTCACCGGATAATTGTTTCAAAAGAGATGAAGGAGAAAAGCGATAGCTTTCCCACACCATCAGCCACGCTAGAAACTTCAACAGCCATTCAGATCGAGTTAACACCTGCGCCTCAGCTAATGGCAGTAGCAGCGGCTCCGGCAATATTTTCAACTAGTTCTCGCCGAATGCTTATTGAAGTGACAAATTCAATCAAGCATCTGTC